AAAATAATGTAATTTTATACACTACCCGACATAAGTTTTGTTGTGGATTCCAGTTGTAAGAACAACAAATAATAACTTGTTTTCTAGTTTATCATATGGAAAAGTGGCAGAAGGTTGATTTTTCTAACGTATTATCTGTTGAACTGCATCCCAATCATCACAAATACTGCGGAAGATCAACTTGAATCCACATGGAGCCAAGACTATCACAGAAATCAGTCAAGTTTGGTGAAGGAAAAATCATGGTTTGGGGTTACATTCAGTATGGGGGCGTGCGAGAGATGGACACATGAACAGCCTGAGGTCTCAAGACATTTGTGCTGCCTATTACATTACAAACCACAGAAGAGGGCAAATACTTCAGCCTCCACATCAAAGCTCCTGAAAGCAAAGCCAGCCTAGTCACCAGATATCAACATTATTAAGCATGTCTAGGGTAAGATGAAGGAGGAGGCGTTGAAGATTAATCAAAAGAATCTTGATGAACTCTGGGAGTCCTGCATTCTGAACGCTTTTTTTGCCATTCCAGATGACTTTATTATTAAGTGATTTCAGACATTGCAGAGATGTATGGATGCAGTCCTCCAAGCTCATGGGAGTCAGACACAATATTCATTCTTTCTCCACTGCTGCATGACTTTTTAATCTATACTGGACATTATTTCTGTTCAGTGATGAGACTTTTGTCTAAGCAAAGTCACCCCTTACTGTCTTAATGAAATCATTCAAAATCAAGGCATGATCATATTTTATTTTGGTCAAATAAGCATAATCTTGAGGCCTTTGTCTTTTGTAAAAGCCACTTCTGAAACCAGATGATCAACTAGAAGTCAACTTATTATTTGTTGTTCCTAAAACTTGGATAGGCGACAAGACTTTTGTCAGGTAGTGTATACAGTAGATAATTTTGCAGTTACATATTACACATGCAATGCTGGTGGGTTGTTCATTTTACATTTATAATTACATTAGAACAACCACAATAGTAGCGCTTTTTTTTTTAACTTAAGGAACACCTAAAATAATATTTCTTATTTAATCAGTTCACCTCAGGGAAGCAATTTACACTATATAAATAAAAAAGTCGTTTGACATCTGGTGATGTAATTGGTCTAAAATAAAATATAACGTTTAACAGTAATGCAATTGCAGTAATGCAATTGCAGTAATGCAATTGTAATTTGCACTTTAGTATTCTAGTGTCAGAACAAATCATTAAGACCAAACCACATGTGACCACAGAGGAAATCAAAACAGAGTCTTTCAAGAGTTAGAACAAACAGAAACTTGACATTGGGTCGGCAGATGACTGGCTCTGTTTGGATTTAGCATATTAGCATGCTGTTGTGGCTGAAGTGCGATGCCAACACACCCAAGTGCTTCAATTCAGAACAGATCTTGGTGCCTGAAAGCTGGGTAAACATGACATGAAAAAATAAATGAAACAAAGATGTGTTACACTGGGTGTATCCTGCAATAATAATCACTACGAAACAAGGCTAATCCCAGTTCTTTAAATGTAGGCACTTGTTTATTAACTTCAAAATGTCTTGGTTCGAGACCAAACATTACTTTTTCAGTATTTAAAAAGAAAACTACATTTCACAAAAAGTACTGTGGTGATAACATTCACTGTAAAAAAAAAAAAAATCTGTAATTTTTTTTATCAGAAAAAAAGTAAAATAACATCCATTAAATGACAGAAATCTCCGTTATTTTACAGTAAATGTCTGTATTTTTTCCCCAGTGTTGTGTAGTAATGGGACTATTGCTAACTCGTTATGCATTTAACGGGCACCTATTATGAAAATCATCTTTTGTGAGCTGTTTGGACAGGACTGTGTGTAGATATAGTGTGTAAACTGTCATCATAGTGTGTTTATTAACTTAGTGTGTATGTCTTTAAGGCAAATGGCATTTGTGTGTGACTCATCATTTCAGAAAGGCTTGAATAAACTCCACCTCAAATACATTAAATAAACTAACTTAGTATTTCTGAGTAATGAGCTGTATTTAAGCTTTATCCGGGTCTGTCTCTGTATCACTGAGCATTGTTTATCTGACATAATGCATGATGAGAAGCAGACACACACAAGGGAACGGTGGGCGGGGAGAAGCTGCTCATTTGCATTTAGAGCCACAGGCTGCAAAAAAAGCTATGCTGAACTCAGACATTAAAATAGGCAGATTCAGAAGGCTATAATAAATAATCTGATGGGTGTTTTGAGCTGAAACTTTACAGACACATTCTGGAGACACCAGAATACAAGAGGTAAAATAGGTGCCCTTCAATTGTTTTACCATTAAAAAAAATAAAAAAATAAGAAACAAGAAATATTATCTGATTTTAAAATTTAAAACTTATTTGCTTATTATAAACACTTCAGATGGTTTCATTCAGTTTCATCTGCTGAGTATTTGAATGCCACAATGTCCATCACACTTTGGTCTCAAAGACTGAGCGCATCAATAAAAACAAACTAGAGGAGCTTCTCAAAGAACCCACAGGCTATTCGAATTACATGTGTAAGAATGTTAATTCAATGTGACGCTTCTGCAGACGCACAAAAAACAGATTTAACACTGAAGTACACACTGTTGTCCAGGGCCATCACAGGAGATTCACATCAACTTGAGGAATGCAGGAAGATTGTCTCAGTCAATCGCACACATGCACATACACTCTGGCTGTTGAATGCTTGATTCTGATTGGCTGATGAACAAATAGGGAACTATTATAAGGGAACCCTACAGCTAAAGTAGTTTCAGGCAGGTCTTGAACTGCATTACGGTGCCATTACCATGCTGAATGATTTCAATTTAGGCAAATATCAAAAATCTAATCAAAACAAAGGGCTTTGAATGCAACACAGGCTCATTAGAAATGCTTCAGCCTATATTTTTTTTAAATATACGTTTACTGTAAAAAAAAAAAAAAATCTGTAGTTTTAAGGTTTATTTCCAGCAGCTGGGGTGAAATTACAGAAATTTACCGTAAAATAACGGATATTTAATTACAGTAACTTAATTAAATGTTTAATGTTTTTTATTTTTTTACAGTGTACTGCACACGTGACTGCAGTTTCTAGGTCAAATCGAACACTACTGGGCAGTATGACAACTACAACATTTGTTTCTTTTCACACTGATGATATTTACAAGTAGGGTTGGGCGATGTTGACCAATTTGGCATCGTACGATATCCAATATGAAACATCGCGATGGACCATGGCATTGTCATCATGTCATAAAAGGGAGTAGGTGGGGGGTCTGAAGAACGAGGAGGGATCCAGGGCTGAGAAGGGTGCGCAACTTATTTCAGGACCAGGAGAAATCTGTGGAACTTCCCGGGAAACTTGGGATGTTTGAATATCAAATTTATTAACTGTAGTAAGACGCAATCCAGCCTTCATAAACTCTCTGCCTGGAGCTCAGAGGAGCGCGTGACAGCGTGTGGCTGTATGTGTGTGGTGGATGTGGATCAAAAGGTGTGGATGTGGATAATTTTCGTTCTAAAATGCCATTTTAATACTAAGACGTATTAGTGTAAACAGAGCCTGAGTGTGTATTTTTCACAAGCGGGTTTGCGACGGGGGTAGGGCGATGGATCATGATGCCGGCTCAGCATCGTGTTTTCTATTGGCCATCGGCGATGGACAATGGCATCGTTTTTCGGCCTAACCCTATTTACAGGAACACATTATCGAAAAATAAAGGATTATTTTGTAAAGTTCTTTGCAAAACACTGATTAAATTTCACAAAACAACTAAACAGTGTCTGTTATTAGTATTTAAATACATTTGTTTCACCTTCCAATCTCAATATGGACATTGTTTCTGGCATGGTAAAATTGCTCATTTACTCCCTTCAAATGGTCTGTTTGAGACGAAAAAATTGCTCTGTTTCGAGTCTGGTGAAGCGCGGTTCCACAAGAGATAAAATCAATGTACGATTAAGTTTTTTTTCCTCTAAGGTCAGCCTTTGAAATCACATTTGATTGAGTTCAGGGAAAGGTTTTGGCCAGTCGACAACAAGGTGATCTTTTCGACTTCCTACAAGAAGAATGTATATTTGATGCTTATAATAAAGCCAACACAATCCCACAGCGATTCATAACTTTTTGATTTAGTGGCTAATTTGTATTCATTTGAATGATCTCATTCCTACAGTTTACTATTAATTGTTTATCCCCCAATGATGGTTGGGTTTAGGGGCGGGGATGCTTTTAAAATGATAAATTTTCATATGTCTGAACTATTACTAATTTGTACAAATTAACCACTAATCTGACAAAATATAAAGTAACATAGTAACATACCAAGTAACATATAAAATGTAGAAAGTGCCCTCTAGTGGATTTGCTATCTGAAATGTGCAACAAAATGTACCCAGAGCAAAGAATCTTACATATTGCAAAAGTGTGGGTTGAGACATGCATTTCCAATGAGCCTATGTTGTTAGAATGAGATAAAATAAATCAGTGCTCTACACAGAGCAGCAGTTTGAGGACAAAAACCTGACAAATACTTCGAAATATAACATCTAAGTAACAGGTGTCAAACTCAGTTCCAAAAGGGCCGCAGCCCTGCGCAGTTTAGTTCCAACCCTAATTAAACACACCTGATCAAACTAATTGAGTCCTTCAGGCTTGTTTGAAACCTACAGGTAATTGTGTTGGAGCACGGTTGGAACTAAACTGTGCAGGGCTTCGGCCCTCAAGGAACTGAGTTTGACACCCCTGATCCAAGTAATGTCTTTTGTAGTGGTAACCATTATATATGCAGAATGATTGACTCTGGTCATTGAATTATTTGAAAATTACACACACCTGAGGTAAACATTAACTCGACAATAATGCACACTCCTCATCATGTCTTGCTCGCTTACCACATTGGGTGTGTATTATTTTTCTAATAATTCAATGGCTTGTTGTCAATTATTTCTTAACATACAGTATAGTACAGTAATGTGGACATGCATTCAGTAAAAAAAAATCATATTTAAATAATTAAGAAATATTTATTATTATTTAAAAAGTCAAAATCTGTTGCAATTATACATTACATATTAATACAAGATGACAATGTGCATAAAATCATTTACCATTCAGAAAAAAAGAAATCACACATATTCACTCCTAAACAGAACTGAATGCCAGTTGAAGTGCTCAGCATAAATGAGTACAGCACTCACAAATCTATTTTTTAATTCAAATTTTCTATAGGAAGCTTTACAATATTATATTTGTGCATATACATTAGATTAGTCAGTACTGAAGCTAAATCTGGAGCTTATTTAACCAAATAACTTACGATAATGTTCCAAAAACTAGTACAGCCAAATGTGTGTTATAGAAAATTATTAAATACAAATTAAATGAGAGGAGAAATCAAGAGCAGCAAAAAAAAAAAAAAAAAAAAAAGAAACATTTTGCAGGTTGTAATTTGTTTTTGTGCAATATTTAGCTTTACTTTAACTGTATTATCTTTTAATTTCTAAATATGTTGGTGACTAAAATATTATTGTAATAAATATATCTGTTTAATAAATCTGTTTTGTTTAAATGCACCAAAATACATTGCCTATATTCACTGAGAAATGGAAAAACATATTAATTTTCAAAACGAGTTGCACTCTATGCTGAGCACTGTATCAACATGACACAAAATGTACAATAAGTATCTAAACATTGTTATTGTAAAGGTTTTGTTAAAGTATGGTTGTTTTCTATGTTTAGCTACCTGTGCATTAAAGGTGACATCAGATGAAATGTTCCCTTTTATAGATTTATTAGAGTTTAGTTGTTTTTTTCTGCTGTGTCTGTCAGCTCAGACAAGTTAAAAAGAAAACATGAAGCTTTTTTTAAACTATCTTAGCCTATTTATGTCAAAGATTTTTAAGGGGGAGATGATAATGTCTGTGTTATCAGAAATACGAAGCTGGACTTCTTATTTCTTTAAAGAATCTAAGCAAACCTACAATTTGTCTGAAAGCTTCATTCTTTAGATACAATTGTAGTTTTTGTTAGGTTGTTATCAAAAGTTAACTTCAATTCACTTGTGTTTAAAATTAGATCATTCTGTCATGTGTTCAGAGCTGTGCTTGTAAGTGTGTTTTAAATGACCAGTTCAGAAATAGAGCTTTTGCCAAATCCAGCAGTGCCACTTTGTGTAAATGTTAGTTTGATTAATGGCATGCTGCATTGTCAAGAAATGATCATTTATATGCATCGATTTTATGTATTGTGTCATTGAAATGTATAAAAGCTTCAAATTCTACTTCATGTCAGTCACAGCCCAAATTCAGCAGAAGCTAAATGCTTAATGAGAGCTGTATGTGTGGTGCAATGGTATATTCAGTAACTGCGCCACAAAAAATTGACTGGTAGGCTATTAGCCATTCACGATCCGGCAGCCTCAGAGAGTGGTGAACAGAAGTTCAGTAGCAGTTAAACAGATAAGAAGCAAACTGGCTTACTGTGAATTGAGGTGTTTTTGACAAGGTAAAATTTGTTTTTTTTACAGTACCATTAAAAAGCTTAACCCTTCAGAATCATATCAACATTTGTAATTAGCCAGCCAATGTCACCTTTAAAGCCACAGATCTGGCAATGTAGGTTCAATCAAGACAGCGAAATATATATGGAGTTACTATTAAAAGTTTATCGTGGCACAGTGAATAAGGAAGCGCTGCAAAAATACTTTTATTAATGTGTACAGCACACCACGTGCTGTTTTTTTCTGATCTTAAGAAGCTTTACTGAATCTGTTCATGATATAACACCAAAATTAACATCTTCTTAGATGCAACATTCAGTTCATTTAATTGTGACAACTGTACGACAGTTTTGCAATATCAGGATAAAACTGCTTGGCTTGAAGGGTATACAGAAGGATGTCTGCCATGATTTTTCCAGACTGAGGATTTAGAGTTTGGCTCGGAGAGATCCAACAACAGGTTTGTCAGAACAAAACTCAGCCCACCAAGATGGCCGTTCCAGAACGTTCTTACCCTGCATGACTGTAGACCACAGGTTTTTGTAGAGCTGAAAGATCAATTAGAAACAGATCAACTCCACTTTTACTCATCAAGCACTTCCAAAACCATTAGAATGAACCGAAGTGCTAACCACGCTTAACCATAAATAAAACAATTCATGACAACAAACAAAAGCATTTTACAGAAAATAATTCACCATTCTTCAACCAATCACACTACAGAGGATTGGTAAAATAAATAGGTTTTTAAGTCTTCTTATTTTAGCCTTTTTAAAATGTCCAGATTAATAAAGATTTTATAACTAAAGACAGATCATTCTAGAGTGCAGGAGGTGCAACAGAATAGACTGAGCCTACATTACACCTCAATCGAGACTGTGGAAAAGACTTATATTGAGCATACTTTGAGAGGATTGCATTTGACGGTGAGGCAATGTACTATAAATTGCGCAGTGTACTATAGAAAAAAAAAAACATTAATAATTATAATAATAATAGTATTCTGTATTTTACATGTAACCAATAAAATGTAGCCATTATATGATCACATTCAAATTAATCAAAATGTTGTTTTTCATATTTTCATGTTTTCTTAACTTTTTTGAGCTCTCTCAGCAGTGGAAGCCCTTTTCTGACAGATAAAAAAAAAGTCAAGCCTTGAAAAGTCAAAATGATGAAGAAAAAAAAAATTATGACTTAGAAAGTTGATAATATAAGATTAAAAAGTCAAAATGATGACTTCTCGTCTCATAATAATGACTTTCTAGAAATAATAAGACACTTTCTCAATATTTTGACTAACTCCACACATGTGCAATATACATGCATGCATCAAAAGCCTTTTTACTAAAATGCTGAGCTAAACTAAACTGCTAGAGTACAAATAGAGAAATTACCTTTTCTTGTTTTGTTTGTAAAATAATACAAGCTTCATTTTTTAATGCATTACAGAGCTACACAGTTGTCATAAAAGACATTGAATTGATATTAATAAACCAAACATTTCCAAAGTTCAGCAAGAACAAGTTAACAACTACTACTAACAACAAATCTTCAATTGGGCTAGTGTGTGGAAAGCTTGCACAAATAAGACACTTCACTTTTATCATAACCTCAGATGAGTCGGAAAATGACTGAGTGCCAAATTGAAGTTCATTTCCAGTAAACATCTCCCCAAATGTAAACATGAAAAGTGTCTCGCTCAGTAGGGGATCAGGGGGAAGGTCTCTGTGTCAGTGGGGTGTGTGTGAGACTTCGTCTAGTGTTTCAATAAAGTTTTGTTTTTGTCTAACTCTCAAAAATACATGGCCTGCCAAACAAGTGCTGAGAGAATTTGACTGGAGGAATGAGTCACCGTAATGTCTAGTCAGAGTCATGTTTCTGAATTAAACAGACTTAAAGGCAGTGTTTTATATCATGGAAAAACCATACAGCTTTTCCGAATGCATAAAATTGGTTTGTTTTAATTAATACTTTTTTTTTTTTCACTTTTGTGTCAAAACTGAATAAACGCACAACCCAAAGACTTAATAACTGTTGATTTTATAAGGTGAAGTTAATTTTACCCCCTTTATGTGACACAATAAGCTGTAAAATTTTCCAGTGAATATTGCATCATTACTAGCTGTCAGGCCAACACGTTTCATAGGCTAGCGGAAAAAAAAGATTCTGTTTGGAAAGGCCTTTTAATATATATATATATATATATATATATATATATATATATA